TTTAACTGTTGCAATACAAATAGAAAAGAAGGAAAAAAGACGTTTTAGCTTTCCCCTAGTAAATGCATATAGAAAATGACTTGAATTACTATCGTATAGCATATAAGCTCTAAAGATAATATTAGTGTAATTTAAAGTAAAGAAACAACTTTATACTTTTTGGTCCAGATACAAAGGCATGACAAATTGCAAAGTCAAAATGCTTCCATATATATGCCTATAGATAATCGTTCATTTCTATAAATATTTCTTTTATTTTTTTTAATTCCATGATAATATTTCATACCTAATGTTTGCAACAAAATGATGTATGCTTTTTTAGTGCATGGTAATAGAGCAAGAAAACTTGGGCTGGAGTTAATATCCTTTATTAGTATTCTTTTATCTAATTCCAAATATATTTTTTCTCCAAATTATTCAAAACCCAAATTATGTGGTGAAGGTCACGTTTTCTTTTGCTTTTTTTTTCTCCTGTTAACAATTCCCTACAAGCATCATACTTATATAAAAAAAGGTATGCTTGAAAATTGTTATTTGTCTCTGGCAAAAACAAGTTTATTAGCTTTAATTCCTCAAGTAGGGAATGCCTTGAATTATTATCATATATATAGCATATACGCTCTAAAGATAGTATTATAATTTAAGGATGAGAAAGAACAACTTAATAACTAATTTTGGCCAGACAAGGAGTTATGGACAAATTGCAAAGTCAAACAGCTTCCTTAGGTAGATTACGGTCATTAGTCATTACATACATAAATGTTTTATCTTTTTTATTATTACTCAAAGATAATATTTCATACCAAAGGTTTACAATGATATATGCACTTTTAGTGCATGGCAATAAACCAAGAAAACTTGGTCAGAAGGTAATATGCTCTATTAGAAGTTTTTTTAATCTAATATGAAATATAGTTTTTCTCCAAATTGCTAAAAAAGAAAACACATTGACAGCTGCCTTTCCAAGTCCCAGGGACATGGTTGTCGGTGTGGATGGATGCAAAGTTAATCAGTCTAATTAATTTCCTTGCTTGAGACTGGATGTAAATAATTGCAATACCTTCTAAGACTTAAGATTTCGAGTCAGAAACTAAAAAGACTTTCCCTAACCCACTGCAAGAAAGATGAAAATGTTAACCATACTAGCTACTTGTAATATTTTTCAACATTGATCTACTGACACTTACTTCCACATTTTATTTCAATTTTTCATGAACAAAGTCAAATTTGAATCTTTAAAGAGTATAATATTTCAATATTTGATAATCTATTAGTTTGAAATATTTCAAATTAAAACTTTGCCATAACTCAAAACAGATCAGTCATTCCAAAGAATGACAGTGTCTGCTACCATAGCTTAGTCTATTATTAAATATGGTGGCAAGTGACAACTACACTAATTAAGACATGGAATTATATATCCTTGACATTTACAATTAAAAAGCTGGGACAAATCATTCATTCACAATGAGCTCTCCTAGCGGTTGATTTGCAGTGTGATTATTCAAATATATTATATTTCACTTTAATTAATTATCAAACGGAAAATGGTAGGGATCAGTGGCAGGCATTAGCCGCGAATCCAATTCTTGAATCAGACACATCATAAGCAACCTCAAAAGTCTGCTGTTGATGATTTCCAATAACGGCTGTTTGGCTCCATCCAGCAAAGGCCAAGCATGTAACTCCCTCCTCAGCTTGTATGAGCACATTGGAAGCACCAAGAGTGAGGTCAGCTCCTCCTTGAAACATCATTTGAATCTCAGGTGCCGCCGAGATAGTCTTGACAGTCCCCAGGAAACAGCAATCCAATATCGAAAATCCAGGGGCTTGCGCATACTTTTTGGACATGATCTTTACAAAGGCATCTCGCAAGGCAGAATACAAAGACATTGGCAGGCGTGTGATAACAGTTCCAGAGTCTATGACGGTTGGGACTCTATACTCAGCAGCAGCCACCCTAAGAGGGATACCTGCCACAGTTATAGATGTCAACCTTAGATAGTACAAACTAGGATTCTGATGAGGATCTGTGATCATGGGAGTGAACTTGAATGATGATAGAGAAGGCTTTCCTATTTTCAGGAAACCTCCAGCGGCAGTAGAATTAGCTGTGGGCAGACAGTAAGAGAAAGCATATCCATATTTGGAGGACACCTGAGCTAGCATGGAGAGTTTGTCACGGGCTAGTCCTACTAGCCCAGCTGCCCTTCCGAACAGGCCTTCATTGTCCTGCCCACATCCATATAGGAAATTGGAGAAGGTTTGGGATCGTGATAAGGTCAGTAAATCTTGACTTAAGTAGCCAATTGAGTATGATGAATCACCATAGCTGGCCGTGTATATGCACTTGTTTGAAGTAGTACATAAAGGGTTGTTCAAAGTTGCTTCCTTGAGTGAAGAGCACTCAGAGGCGGCACATGAGAGAGATTTGTATGTCTTAGATGCAGAGGGATTAAACACAGGGTCTGCCTGGCCGTGACAGTATACTTTACAAGGCTCACACTGGATCCAGGAGAAGGAGCTGCCTGTATCCATGAGCACGTCATAGTACTTGACCGGAGTTCCAAGGCCTATCCTGAAATAGTAGTTCCCTGTGCCGATGGATAAACCTGGATTCAGTGGGATACTCAAAGACTTTGCACTTGACCAATATCCTAATCTCTGGGATAAAGCGGAATTTGTACTCCCTCTGCCTCTGCCCCTGCCCCTGTCTTGGGCTACTATGGAATTGAGAGCCTCAACACGTTCTTCATCACGCAAGAGAAAATTGGAGAAGGATAAGGAGAATTCTGGGGTGAGAGAAGACTCAGGCCCTTGAACGTGATAGATCTTAACGTATATGCCAGACTGGTTGACTTCCAACTTATTCTCTGCAAAAATTGGTTCATCGTTTATAATAATGACCATACATATAAACCTATCCATTTATATTTCAAATATATATTTCATAGAATACGGAAAACATATACATACCTTGGAGTTCTGCGAGCAGAGGTGCCACTGCAATTGCAAGTGGCAGAGAGAAAATTAGAAACCAAACAAACGCCATCTCAGTTATGCAGCCGACTTATAGCCTGTCCTCTCTTTATCTAAAAGAAGGGGAGCTTATAACAAGAAAGGAGACCATTTCATTTACAAGTGAGTGTGGCAGAGTTTCAAATGGAGAGGAATGCATAAAGAAATCATGTCCAATCATGAACTATTAGTTGGAGAAATATCAATGCTGTCACATCCCTTCAACAATAATGGGGCTTGGTTAAAGTAAGTGGAACTTTAAACTGTTAGATTAGAAATAAAAAATAAATATTTATAAAATTGTTATATGTTATCTTATCTTCGTTTTGTTTGTGAGCAATTAAGAAAGTGGAAATACGGAACAAAAACCCATAATACCTATTGCTGTGACAGGGGTGGGAAACGGTACTTGCATCGAACGGCTGCTTTTACTGGATAAGAATATATGTGTACAGCTCGATATGCAAAGGACACTGATGGAAGCATATGTGCAAAATAAGATTCAGAGGCCGAGCATAGGCGATGGGGGTTCTCATGGCTATCATTCTCCTACGTGTTTTAACTGTCTTATCGAGGTCGTACAAATTGGCCATACAATGTTGGAAAAAAATGAGAAAAAAGCATCAAACCAGCCCTTTGAATCATGGGTTTGGGCCATGGAAAGGTCCTCTCCAACTAAAACTTTATTATGATCTGGAAATGTTTTCCAGATCATCAAAGTCTTTTGTATTCAAGCTAACTAAAAATATCACGTAACAATGTCCTCTGGAGTGATCATGGGATCATTTAATTGGACCTTTTACGAGTATCAATGATATTTTCCACTTTACGAGCTTGCATGAAGATGAAGAAACATATTGAGCTTTACCTTGGAATGGTCAAATTAACTTAACCGTCATTGTTTTTAGGCCAAATAAAGTAAGAGCAAATTGCGATTTCTCTTTTCTTTTTTTTATGTTTTGTTAACAACAAAAGTACAAATTAAATGTTTAAAGGTAGATGATATGCGAATTTTTACCGTATGGTAATATACCAAGAAAACTCGGATAGGATATGTCTCCGCCTCATAGTACTAGTAGCGAATTTTTTTATTTTATTTCCAAACATAATTTTACTCAATATTGCGCAGAAGGATACAAGCATAGCGACCGCTGCCATTAGCTTTAGCACAGTTTTCATGGTAACGTCTGCTGACACAAACATTGCATGCCAATGCAGAAGCAAATGCTATGTTTTTCTCAATGCATTAAGGGCCAAAATGCTCAAAATTACCATAGTATAATCCGGAAAACATACTATCAAGGACCATGATTCTCTTTTGTTTCAAAACCGACATAAAATCCACCACCCAGCTAAAACCATGAACCAAAATAAGACAATTTCAAAAAAGAGGGAAAAAAGTGTCTAGAACAATGAAATCACAGCACAAAACAACTTAACCCCCTACTTCACTTCCTTCCTCGGATCTTCAAAGCTTGTCTGTTCCTCTTCTTGACACCAGACTTGGCAACCTTCAGACTCCTGTTCACAGCACTCAACCTTGCAAGGGCTGCTTTCGTTAAATCTGGCCTGTAGTAGTTGTCTGCCACCTGCAATATTTGAAACAAGACATAGACATTAGGCAAAATTCATAAAAGAATCACCATGCTTAGATGAACAGAATTTCAGAATATCATTGAAAATCAATATGGACTGCAGCATGGAGACAGTGCAATTGCCAAAATCACCAAGTTACATTAATATAATTGAGAATATAATAGCAGCAAAGTTCAAGGAGGAAAAACAGAGGGAAGGTGGGGAGAAAAAGTAAAACAGAAGGGGACAAGCTACACAAGAGAGCATGACAGCCAAAATTCAGCATACACATATACACATCATGCTCAAAGCAAGCTACATAAGCATTGAAATTGCACTCATTAAACTTTAAAAGCTCAGAAGCCAAGCGTAACAAGGAAATTTCATAGAAGAATCCAACAAATAGATCCTTCTTACATGTTATTGCTTCATCACCGCAAATTAAAACTTTCAAAAAATTTAAATTTGAATGCAAGCAATGCCACACCTTTAGACAAACAAATCATCAATCAACTAAATAATCTAACAATTTTCACCAGTTAGTTTAAGGAACTAATATTAGATAAAGAGTTCAAACTTTTTTTAATGAAAAAAAAAACAACTGTTTTTGGTGGTGAATCTTTGGGCAAACAATTCTTTCTCTTCAAAAACAAACACGCACAACAATTACCAATAAGTTACAAATTAATATCAAATAGTTGGGGGAGGTAGGGAAAGCTTTCAGAGGCAAAACCAAACCTACAAAAAGAATAAACAGAAATGGTTCAGATGATGACTTCCCATTTTACCTGGTTTTTGACTGCCTTGGCCATCCTGGGGAACTCCTTTCTCATGACAGACTTGTGAAGCAAACTTGAAGGCTTGTTCTGCTTCTTGGTCTTAGTTGTTGCTAGCAGCACAGACTGATCTTTGCCCCCACTTTGAATGGTGACTGTTTTCTTGTTTGCCAGCCCTAACGTTTCATAGATCCAGTGAAGAGTAAGTCAACTGAACCAAAGTCCCGACTCAACTAAACTCAAAGAACGAGTTCACCCATTGAGTTGAGAAACTGGAGCAGGGGAGGGAGACAAAGAATATATATTAAACAAATAGGACATGTATTCCTTTGTGCAATTCCAGGTTTCAACTATTCTCAAGATAAAAACAGCAACTTCGCTTCCAACTTTTCAAGTACTATATCAATTAAAATTGCCCCCCTCATCGTACTTGGATGTTCTTATGGTTATATCAGATCACTATTTCAGTTTTCCTAAGAAAACTTAATTCAATTTTTTAAGAGAAAAAAAAAAGCAAAAACGAAACAAGAAATACCAAATATTTCTTCTGTCATTCCCTGAACAATCATTTGCCAGGCAAATATTTCCTTTTCTCTTTTACTTGATAAAACAGGAAAAAAAAAGCAAAAGAAATTTTCATTTGCCAAATAAACCTGACATAAACACAATCGAATGAACAACAATAAAAGAAAGAAGAAACTTTTGGATCAAAATAATACCAGAGTGTTTGTAGGAGTTGAGATTGTAGAGATTGTTTGGCTCTTTGCTGAACTGAACGCTAGCGGTTCCTCTTCCAAACTGCTTCACCAAAAAAGAATTGTTCTTCTTCACTATCTCCCAAATCAACTGTCCCGGAACTGTCGCCATCTTCTCCTTCCCTGCACCTCACTGCACCAGATCCACCCAAACACAGAAAGCCTCTTCGTAAGATTAAAAGCCATTAAAACAAAAACAAACCAAAAAGAAAAGGCAGATACATATTAGCAGGGAGCTAAGAATTGAAGGAGAACCTGAAATTTTTAGGGTTTTTTTCTAGGGATGGGAGCTGCAGCGAGAATTGGAGACTGTAAAGAAGAGCGAAAAAGAGGTTTTATATCACTTAAAACCCTAGCCTGTTTTCCTTTTAAGACGGAAAGGGTATCATTCATTTTGTTTATTACGATCATGTCCTTTTCTTTTAGTGCAGGTTTTGTTGGACCCTGTCTTATAAACTTAAACAAAACGCAAAACAACTCAAAGTTGAATATATCAAGAATTTTCTTTTTGCATGATAAATAAAATAAATTAAATTAAATTAAAACTAAAATATGTATAAATAATTAATTAATCCGATATTTGATCTTATGCTATACATTTTCTTATACCCTTTGAAACATTTGTAAAAGGGCCATGTGTTTTGACAGTTATATTTGAGATTTGAGAATTTGAGACCATGCCTGATCCATGAAATGATAAACCCAAAAAGGGACATCTCCAATTAAAAAATAAATAAACAAAGCAAGTGGGAAACATGAGCCTCATAAGGACTTGATTGAGGAGGAAAGAAGGGATTGGAATTAGCAGCAACATCTGAATTCCAAAAACAAAACAGAGTTGAAAAGAAAGTGGCTTTGGAATAAATTACCAAGTCATAGTCCCAAACCCCAAAAAACAAAAAGGGTACAACTGCAAAATTTAGGTTATTAGCCCCCTGAATCAACCTGAATTCATGAATTAAAAAAAAAAAAAAGAAAAACCCAATATCAGGTCATGGATATACCTAATACCAGATCCCACCTCCTTTACACCTCAACTAATGTTACATTTTCATATATACAAAGCCAGAGAAGCCCTTCTTCATCATCCTTCATACTCCTTACCAGTTTCCTTTTCTACAACAACCCAATGTCACTTCAATTGTACAACGGGATTCATTCTACCTGTGGGCAGATTGTATGCTGCTGTTGCTATCAGCAAGGCTTTTAAAAATGAACCAGCAACCAGGTTCTCTAATCAAATCAAATCCCAGTACTGAACCACATTCACTATAGTAGGGATCATCTACTCATGAATTGCTTGACGTTGAAGGGCACATGTGTTGGTCGTGCTGAGCCATTCAATGCTTCGTTTATCCTACTGAATACTAACTTCAGAGGAACACAAGCTATTACAGGACCCTTAGGCTTCTCCACCACCAGTTTCCTGTCAGCTAAACCGAGTTTTTGACCAGTCAATGAAGACAATTTCCGAATCTTTTTAGACAATAGTCCAGATTTCTTTGCTTTCACTGATTTCGTGGAGAAAACGTGCGTGCAGTTTCATATGCTTTGTAGGAACTCGCCCACCTTCTGACTTTCGCTTCACTACAGGACCAATTTCAGTGCACTCCATTGCAGCTTCTCGAGTCAAACTGCCATAGTAATCATCACTCAAAACCTCAACAGTTAAAGGGTGACCAATTATGGCTTTTCCATTCAGTTTACTCATGAGGAAACTAATGGAACATGCTGTGGCCGATAGTTAGCTTTCACCTCAATCTTCACATCATAAAATGATGAATCAGCGGAAAAAGGTTTTCCTGGAAAATCTGTCATCTGATACCTGGAATGAACAGTATAGCGAGACTGACGGTATGGAAGTGACCTTTGAGGGGTCACAGAACCATCGGGCAGTATTTTTGCCTCCACTATTGGGCCTCTCGCACGAGGCTCCCGAGACATAGACTTCCAGTCCTGGAACCCATTAAGCTGCTCTTCAACAACAGACTTGGACTTGGATTGCAAGGTGCAATTGTATGAAGCAACTGACCCAACACCATTGCAATCAACTTTCTGATCAGAACCCTGAGAAAATCCATCCAAGTGCTCTATACCTGCCAAACAAGCATTTGGTACATCATCCATGTCGGCATATTTTCTTGAGTCATGCTTTCGATTTTTACTTATTTGTCTTGATTTCCTCTTTCCTTTTAACTGCCATTCAGCAGTACCTTTCTCTATCCTCTGGCTAATACTATTAGTATGAGCAGCCACTGATCTGGTACAACCAGATTCATTATGTCCCTCAGTTTCAGCTTGCCTTCCCAAATCACCAACTTCAGGCGTCTCAGATGAACAAGATACAAATATTGGAGAAAAATCTGTCAAAATCATATGGTTCATCAGTACCAATAGGGAAAAATGTAAAATTCTACAGCTGAAAAAAGATGAGAGAGGAAAAGGTAAAGGAATCTGCTTTTAGAAGAGCAGGCATACACATCTAATTATCACACACTGGAGGTTTTGTAAGAAAGATCAACAAAATGAAACATTACCAGAATGTGTACCTTCTTATGCTAAATATGTCATCAGACCATGTACTTAAATCTACAGACAAGCAAAAGACCACAATGCATGAACCACGCAGACCCAATACTAAACTAACCTTATTTCAAACAGAAATGGTTGAGGTAGAAATAAATTCTGATAGAAGAGGTGCATGGCAAAAGAAGGAAAAGAATTCCATAAAACAAAGGGAATTCCACTGTCTTTACCTCAAGTTTGACTTGAGTCTCCAGGCAAATTGTTATTCAACAGGGACTACTAGCAAGACCATTCAAGTTATTGGCCCAGATTATGCCCTTATTAGCCAATGCAAGATTTCAGCTCAGCCCACTGATTGTGGAAGAGCATAAAAATCAATGTGTTCAGCTTCCAATCCAGTCACATATTGATTATAAACTCATGGTTAGAACATTCATCTCACGTCATTATATCCTGAACTCATAAGAAGAGTATTTTAGCTGATTTCCAAACTTGTCACTAATATCAGTGACAGTTTAACTTTTTATCCATGTCATCTAATTCCTCAGCATAATACAATATGTGTTTGGGTTTTAATAGAGTTGGGCCTCTAGTTTAGTACCCATCCTTAGTTGTTTCTTTTAGGATCAACTTCATCTCATGCCAGGATAGCTGTCCTCAAGTTATCGGATCATCAGAAATTGGCTGCAGTTCATTAGTTATGACTTATTTAGAAGAAAGTCAAACAAGCTGGAGCCCAGCTAATGACAAGCTTTTGCCTCACACAAAACCAACATTATGCAGACACACGATCAACATGGTGAATAACAAGGCATGATAAAACAAATAATCCATATCCCCTGCAATAGAAAAGCAATTTATAGAAGCAGCAGAATATGTTTATGCACAAAAAAGATGCAGCGAATTAGAAAATGCTACAACATATTATATAAAAGTTTATTCCACAATACCTGCAGATGGTTTATCTTCTCCAACAAATGGCACATCAAATAGCTTGTCAGAAGAACCATTCTCAGCTAACTCTAATATGCTCGAAATTTCATTGTATTTCGTCTTATTATTAGTTTGGGTTGCATCAGCAGCATGTTCAGAAGCATTTAAAGAGACACCATTCTCACATGAAACTCCTGTACTATCGGAGTTGTTATTGTTGTTGTTGTTGTTGTTAATTACAGCAGAAACACTTCTCCGTGACTCATTAGAATCCATTCCTGAAACTTTGCTGTCAGAGAGTCCCCTAAGGGGTGAGCCACTTGAGCTTGGAATTTCATCACAAACAACTGGAACTGACACCATAGCTGTACTCTCCAAAACCTTGGTTAGTGGTCGCCGACGATTTTTCCTTTTCAAGAATTCATGAACGTTTGCCACTTGAGACCTCTTTCTTTTCAATGATGATGAATGATTTCTGCTACCATTTACAGGACTTCCATTAGACACGCAATTGCCCATGTTTGGGTCATAGAATGAAGCATGATCTTGTTGAACTAACTCGAGCACCCCTGCAGCCTGGGCTTTCCTTTTTGATCCTACACCCATGCCTAGATCCTCAAGGCCTCTCATGCGCTTGATTCCTTCTGTTCCATCATCCTCTGAGTCATTTGGGGTTTTCCTTCTCTTTACCAGCACACAATGCCCCTTGGTACCATTAATATGATTTGGCTCTTCAAAGGATATGCCAGACTGTGATAATTCTGGAGCTGAATCTGAGTCGTCCTCCGTATCACTCATTTCATCAGTCATATCCTCATTTTCTTTCCCAGAATGTGACATGGTAGGTGATTCTTTGACCAAACTACCCTGGTCACCACCAGAATTATCTTTTCTAGAGAAATAATCTGGATGATCCTTGCCTAAGCGTGCACTCTCAATCTCAAGAGCATGGAGAATAGCATCTTCTCTTCGAGCATATTTCACTGCTTTCTTGCTAGAATTTGCTGCCGAAGCCTTTGCTTTCTCAATACATTCATCATATTCTCCACAGCGAAAGGCCTTCACCCTCTTAGACTTTTCAAGATTATACCAGTCCCTAATGCCAAAAAATGGCAAAGAAATTTAGTCAACAAAATCAAGTAATAAGAACAAACGCCAAGTGCAGTAAATTCTTGCTATTCAAAGGTGACCATCATGTGAACATAAGACTTCCTCTCATTCATGTATTTCAATCTTCAAATACAAATGATCCTAGAAATTAAAAAGAATAAAATACAGCACTAACAGTCCTTTACTCATAAATCATCCAGCATTGGACATGGTTTAAACCTTAGACACCATGGGATCAGAAGGTAAAACCTTGAATCTAAACCGTCATAACCTGATAATGAACATAGAAGTCATCTACCCAAACCTTGGATATTTTTTTCATTTTCTACTGGATTGATACATAGTCCTCAAGTAACAAAGTGACAATTGCAACAAGAAATGGTTACAGGCTCTACTAACACATGACAGAACAAACACTCATCTACTGAACTGATTTAGAAATTTACCTTTAGAGCTCAATAACCAATGCCTATACCCTATCACAACATAAAAGACAAGGCAATAGAAGAAAGAAAAAAAGCACAACATTTATAAAGGGCTTTTGGAGGATCAAATACAGATTCTCTTACCAGCCTAATATAAATCACCAGTGTTTAAGGGAAAAAATTTTCCTGAAGAAACATAAAGTTCTAGTTTTAAAACAGCCACAACAAGATTTTCTTCAAAAGACAGAAATTGTTAAGTGAAATAGTTCACTGACAGCCCAAAGAACAGGCATAACGCACCAAAGCAAACAAGCATGCTTTCAATATAATGCAAATGCTCAACATTCCACCATATATTGCCAAAAAGCACACGTATAAACATGAAAGTGCATCATTTGAGTCAAAACCACAAGTTTGCAATGTTTTGGAAACCCTTCAAATGGAACCAAACAAATATATAAAAACCACCAGAAGAAAAGACCCTTTATTCTCTGCAAGTGTTTCCCCATTTTTTTATCATTTCATTGATTAAGCAACATCAAAAAAAAGTTCAAAAAAATGACAAAACTATGAAGAATACTAAACAAATAATTTTACATAAAAAAAACTAATCATCAACAGAAATGCAAGCAACTAAACCCAAAAAAAAAATCTAAAAAGTAACTAAAAGATTAAACGAAATGGACTCACACGCTTGCATCTTCACGACCAAGAAGCTTAACAGGAGTACCGGATCTCGGAGAAACCAAACAACTCTCAGAGAGCTCGTCGAGGCCCATAATCCGACCCGGCCACCAGGAACCGTTTCGACGTCGGACCCAAACCAACCCACCCACCGAGGCATCAATGCCCTTTGTGTTGGGCTCATCGGGGCTCCCCATCAGAAACCCCTTCCGCCAAAAATCCTCCTTAAAAAGTAAATGTTAAGAAAAAAATCTGATCTTTAAAAGTCAATCCTTAAACTCCGTTTTGAAGCAGACCCAAGACTCCAAAACCACCAACAAATAGTCCGTTGCTTGAACAAATGCATATGCCCTTTAAAACCTGAAAAAAAATTAAAAAGAAAAAGAAATAGTAAGAAAAACCTTAATCCTGCATGCAACTAAACAGCCAGAAAAGAAACAAAGAAGAACCCATAAACCCAGGAAAGAAAAAAGCTTAAAAGCGAGATAAAAACCTAAGTCGAAAGGGCTTATGGAGGGAAAAGGATCTAGGTGGTGAAGACAAAGCCCAGTGTAAACAACAAAAAAAGATCTGGCGAAATTTTTTTTCCTTTTCTTGTTTTGAAGATTTCTTTTTGGGTTTCCTTTTCCACTTTTTAATTAAATTTCCGGGGTTTTTTTCTTGAGAAACTTGAAAATATATATCTAAATGCGCTGCAACTTCACTTTTATTCTTTTTTTGTCAAGGATTTTATGGGGTTTTCTCGGCAGAGTGTACGGGCGGAGAGTGAGCAGAGTGAGAGATAGAGGGAAGGAGAGAGTTTTTAAGAAAACGAAGAGTGAAGAAAAGAAAAAACAAAAAAATATTAGGCCTCTGTTGGATCATCAAGGCCAAAAATAATAAAACGCACCTTTTTGCTTTTCCGGTTCAAGGTCGGGAAAAGATAGAGAAGAGAGAAGAAAAAATTTACTTAAGCAACAATTTTTCTTTTTAAACAAAAGCGAACTATCTTACTAATCCCCTTTTTTTTTTTTTGGCACGTTGGCCTCGTACAAATGTTTCCTAAACCGTTGGATTAGTTTTGTTGATTCAAATCAAACGGTGCTGATTACGTTTGAAGATGAGAAAATGCGGATTCTTCTTTCATCTGAGCAAACTTGAGGCAAGAAAACAGGGCAAGGGTGTTTTTTTTTTTCTTTTTATGTACAGAGAAATTTTGTACTAATCAGGGCAAAGGTAATAAAATGACTTCGTGGGGCAAGGGTTAATAAAAAAAACAATACTAATTGTCATATAACATAGTTAATTAAATCAATTTCTAATTTTTATAAGTACTTTGTTTACCTTTTATAATTGTTATCTTGTTTATAATATATAATCTTTAACAGTATTATGACATCATTTAATCTTGTTATTTCCACTATATATATCTAGAAGTTTTGAAAAAATAGTTTTAATTGGCATTATTTTTTCATATATTCATTAAGTTTTTTTATTTAATGTTGAAGAAATTATGTAATTAATTAATAAATTAGTTTGTACCAATCAATCTCTTGAAATACGCAAAGCCCAACTTATTCAGGCCGGTTTGAGCAATATTTTCAAGCCCAGACTTGACTTTACTTGGCCGAAAGATTACTTTGTTGTGTAAATAATACTATTTATAAGAGATATTAGCTTCCTAAAGCTTCAATTATAACATTTGAAATAACCCTATGGAGACTTCTTTGCATATAAATTTGACTTATAAATTAGCAGAGTAATCCTATTGACTTACGCACCCTTTTGTTCCTCATAATTGAACATTGTAATTAAATTGAACATTGTAATTATTAAGTTTTTGGTGTTGTATTCTAAATTATGTGTATTTGTCTATTGACATGTTAAAAACATGAGTGCTATATTTTCTATTTTTGTTTTCTTATTTATTTAATTATTTTATCAATCATTTGGAATCATGCATGGCACGTATTGTTTCAAACGAAAACAGAGCAAAGGGACATGAAATCGTAATTTGCAAATACATAAAATATGACAAGCGCCATCAATCTTGCGAGCGCACCGACTCTTCTGTGAACTCCATGTCATGTCCGGAAAAGGAAAAAGCAAAAGTGTTGGGTGTTCTGACTTTGGACAAACAGTTGTATCCTTTATTTTCCGACACTTGTCTAGAATGCATTTTTGTCTTTAAAAGCATGTTGATTGTTGGGCAGATGTGATTTTATGATGAACGGCTCTGATTACGCAATTAACGGTTGATCAGAGATGGTCTATCTTGATCTTCTTCTTCTTTTTTAAGTGGCTTTTTTTTTTCTTGAGGAAATATTGTAACACCCAAAGATTATATAATTAGTACCAAATTAGCTCTAAAAATGTTTTTTTTAAAAATATATATATATATATATGTTAAAGACAAACCCAAATAAAGAACTAGATGTAGTTGAGTAGTGGCATGGTTGGTGCATTGATGGCAGTGGACACCGTTGCTTCCCAACACAACTCTCCACCTAGAAACCGACGCTAAGGAATGTACTCCATTCTCTTTTAACCAAACTAGTTAAAAAGAAACAAAAACAATATGAATGGAAATAAAAAAAACAATTTGTAAACTTTAAATGTTGATAATTCGGAAGAAATTATGTTTTATGTTTTTATTTATTATTTTAGACATTGAAAATTAGGAGACAAGACGCAATAAGTATGGAGAAGAAGAAGACTATTTGATACAACAACAAGTAATAAATTTGGAAATTTTATACAAAACACTAGGATTTGTTTTTGTCATTTAGAAATCTTATCCATCAACTCAAAAAGTGTGCCTAGTTTTTAGTCAATGAGCTTGTAACTTATTTTAATATGGTAAACTCTATCATCATTCTTTCAATTTTTTTTGTATGACCTTTTTTTAATTTATAGTTTGTGGATTTTTTTTTCAATTAATAGATAATAGATAATTTCTGTTCACAAGATATTCAGTTAGGTTGTTAATTTTACTCAATAAAATTACCAAAATATGTTTAATTCAAAAGTAATCTATTTGATCATGCTTAAAGATCTTCTTTGATATGTTATTGAGTAAAATTAATAGCATAATTTCGTATAAGAACAAATACAAATTGATTATTGAGAGAAAATAAAGATAGTCACTATGTTACTTAGGAAAAAATTACAAAATGATAAATGAGAATAATTAAAATCACAAAAAATGTGAAGATACTTAATTTTGGTTAATACCTATTATCTAAAGAATTATTTTATATCATAATATTATACAGAGAATAATGAGAACAACCATTATAAGTGAAGCATTGCATTACGCAACACAACTAAAAGAAATGAATTACTACTTCGCAAAGAACAACTAGAATAAGTGATGCAATACTCAATGTGGAACAATTAATACAAGTAAATTAACTACTTCACATAGAATAACCACTTTACATAGATGATAGTGAAAGTAATTCAGAATAAGTGACAAGGTTTATAGGTTACTTTCATCTTAGGATATTTCGGATAGTTTAACTTGGTAGCTCAGATGTGGAAGTAGTTAACAAGTTTCTCTCTTAACTTTTTTCTAAAGTACAAGTATTTCCCTATTTTACCTTGTTTTCTTATACTTGTTTACCTATAACTTTTTCTCTTGTACCTATTCATATAGAGTTCCTTCTCTTGTACTATGCACATACAGCTCTTTTTTGTTAGCTTCTACTCAAGAACAAGTCTTATTACATCTAATTACTTCAATAGTCAAATAATGGGTTTTTAACCATTACTCGACATTAACTCTCAATAACGGTTACCTAACATTAAAACTCTTCTAATAATATCACTTATTAAATGCAGTAAAGTCTTTTCTTGTAATTGTTACTTTTGGCACCATATATAGAGCCTTCACAATTCATTGAAGGGATTTTTACTTTTCGGAACTACGTTACTCTCAAAACTTCTCTCTTTAGCCCTCTTATACATTATCTACCTATTTTCTTCTTGTTTTCTTCCACTTGCCACAACACTCAATACTTCAAGAATTGTTTTGATTTTCCTTTTCGCCACCTCCGATACATCCCTTACTTGTTTGCAACGCTTCCTCTTCCTATCACATTAACCCTTTATATTTTAGCGACTCCATTAAGGAAGAGTGATCGCATTAAATAAGACTTTTTCAACTATAATTTTGTGTTATTGGAAAATATGTAGAGCTCCACTAGCAACCAAGATGCACCTATTCACTCTTACATTTAGGATCTGATGAGAATGATCCAAGCTTCTCAAAAAAGGATGCAAATATTAAAGGACAATAATAGACAAATGATGGAGACTATATCCCAACTCGTGTCCTCTATTACCATCACTTCTCAAGCTCAACCTGTGCACCTTAATAAGAGGGCACTTGACGATGTCATTCTTCTAGTTACAAACACTAAGGGAATGGAGGAAATGGAGAAAGTGCAGGGAATGTAGTAGTTGCTACAAACCTTAATCCAACCAACTCCACTGTTGTAATTACCTTAGCAACTACCTCTATTGTAGCAATCCCACCTACTCCTACTCAAGTATTTATGACAATGAAAGAGCTCTAAAGGTTGTGGATCAGAAGAACAAAAGTTTGAATTTTTCTAATTTTAATATCAAGTTACCTTACTTGACCAGTGTAGCTGCAAAACTATACCTCAAAGACTATACTAACCTCAAGTTTAAGCAATTCAATGGAAAGACTAGAGATGCATGATAATATGTCATGAAGTTTGTGGAGACTATTGGAGTTGCTGGATTAGATGATGACCTAAAGTTGAAAAAGTTCTCCAAGTTTCTCATAAAAAGGCTTATACATGGTATGCTAACCTCACTCTTGGTTCTATTCAGTTTTGGAATCAAATGTGTAAGCCGTTTAGGAAAAAATGTTTTTATACTCAAAAGAAAATTACTCACATTGATCTCAGAAGAGAGTTTCAAAAGTCCAAAAAGGACCTCATAGAGTACTTCTAACACTTTAGAAAGAAATTGAACATACAAGAATCTCATGATGAGAAGGAGTTGGTAAAGGCATGCATTTAATGGATGTTTGATGAGTATAAGCTACATTTGGAGAATCTACCTCTTCTAACCTTTGTTACTTTAGTGGAAGCTACACAAAGGATTAATAATATGGTTCTTAGATAGAAAAGACTCACTCACTTCGGTAGAAGGAATACCTTAACGATGAATGCCATCCAACGAAGAGGTAAAGAAAAAAAAGGTCCAATCCAAGCAAATTTACGTCCTAGAAGAGGTGTCCCAAGGAGAAAGCCAAATGAGGAGAATGACTCTTCACCACCATTCTTAGTACCTCTAGATAGAATGAGAGTTCTTCTCTTAAAATAGGTTAGGGATGGATAGATAAATTTACCTTACACTCCACAACCATTAACAATAAAAGAGAAAGTTAACCTAAGGTACTGTGATTATCATCGAGCAATTGGTCATCCATTGGTTGAATATAGAAATCTTTAGAGAATGTTCATTGACAAGTGCAAACAAGAGAAGTATTGATTGAAAATAATAGAGTCCAAAATAACCATCTTTCCGTTCATCCAAATCTTCAAGGGCAAGTAAGTGCAATAATTCATGCTCACCATGATAAACCTTATTCTTCGAACACGTAGTTCAATGATATAAGTGAAGCTCCAATGGTTACTTTTTCACTCACTAATTCACTCATAAAGACACCTAGCTTCAAGCATTTCTTTAACCAACTTGAGTTTTTAAAAGAAGGAAAGAAGCAGTTATATCACTAGTTTAGATAATTGGAGAACAATATGGAGAATGTAACTTACTAGGACAACCTATGGATAAGATAACCAGTGTAAATTAGAATGTTATTATGTTTACAAAAGTAAGCATGTGTACACCCCATCCTTATCATAATAAACCCCTTTATATGAAAAGCACTATCAATGGATATCCTATTAAGAGAACATTCATTGATGATGGTTCCTCTATGAATCTCATACCTCTATTCACTTTGAGTGTTTTAAACATATATTTGAAGAGTTTACGTCGTCTTATGGCTATCACTTCTTTTGATAACAAGGAGATTATTACTCTGGGGTAAGTGACAGTGAACTTCAAGATGGGGTCGATTCAAGATTAGACATGTTTTCATATTATTGATGCAATGTGGCTTATCATTCTCTAATTGGAATAAAATTTCTGCACATGCATAATATCATTTCTTCCTCATACCATTAATGTATTAAAGAAAATTGGAAAGGGAAAGAGATTTTCATTCTGGCCAACTAAAGCTTTGTTTGAACAACATGGGTGAGTTATACATAAGCTTTTTTCTTTGAGGATTAGGTAGAAGATGGAGAATATTGTTAAACCTGTGGGTGTTTTACTCTCGCGATGGGAAGAATATGGTGGGAATAAGGTAGAAAACAGTGGCAAGAAAAAGACGCAAGGTGGAAAGAGAAAAAAAGGAAACATTTCTACATATAAAGAAGTAATTTAAGAAAAGATGTTTAATGAGGCAACTTCTTATGCACGTGAAGATGAAAAAATTGTGCATTACTTATGATGGGATGTTAGGTTTGGGGAAAAATCTTTTCCTGACCCTAAACTTTGGAAGACACTAGATACATTACCATCATGTCTTCAAGTGAAAGTAGAGAAAGAAAAAGTATATGAAGTATTACCCATAAAAGCAAATCTTCAAGATCAATCCCAGCCTTAAGCTGATAAGTTGGAAAAAATAAATATGACGAAAGAAAGAGCAATGGCTAAGCCACTCTTTATAAGTAAGAGTCTTTCTAGTGAGCAAAGAGTTGCACTAATTGAATTATTGAGAAAATTTCAAGATGTGTTAATGATTGGTATATGCCTTATATTGATTTTCTCTAAAATGAAATTTTACCAGCTAACTTTAAGATGCAAGACAACTCAAGAAGAGAGTTCAATGTTTTTTCCTAAAAAAAATGACTTATTCAAACTCTCATTTGCAAAAATACCATTGAAATGTGTTTTCTCGGTTGATGTCAATCCATTATTGGAAGAAGTGCATGCAGGTAGTAGCGAAAAACATGAAGATGGAAAGAAGCTTTATAATAAGCTTTTGGATTTTGGGTATTGTTGGCTTATTATGGAAGTGGATGCAATGAATTATGCAAGGAAGTGTTATCCATGTCAGATTTATGGGAATGCTATACATGCTCCGAATGTATAACTTCTTAGAATCGTTATTCCATAGTCTTTCCATACTTGGGCATTTAATTTGATTAGACTTATCAATCTTCTTTCTAAAAGATATACTTGGATGTTAGCAACAACAGAATGCTTTACTAAATGGGTTAAAGTTATTTCTTTGAAGAATGCGACTGGTTTGATGATAACAAATTTCATCAAGGAAAACATCATTTGCAAGTTTGGCATACCCAGATATATTCTTTCAAATAATGGTACTCCATTCATTAATGCTAGTGTAAGGGAATTACTTGTTCTTTACGATATGGATCATGTAGAGTCTACTCCTTATTACCCGAAAGAAAATGGTCAAGCTGAAGCTACTAACAAGACTTTGCTCAAAGTGCTTATAGCATGTTTGGTTGGTGGAATGGCTAAGCCATTCCCCCTTTACTCCCAAGGAATTTTGATTCCTTTATTTGGTTGAGAAATAGTCCAAGGATTCAAAATCCTCCAAAACTAAGGAATAGCTAATACCATCCTCCTCCGTGGTATTAGCTATTCCATAATTTGAGGAATAAACTCAAAAAATCATAAAGACTAAAATATCCTTTACAAGTTTAAAAAATTACAACTCTATTTATATAAAATATTA